GAAAACCCTGAAAGCTTAAAGACTCTAACCCAAACCCTTGATTAATAAACCCCCTCCCCTGAATAGGGATGATGATGGGGATCCTAATATCAAGGCCAAAAGGTGGAGGTGTATTAATCGTGGGTCTACATTATCCTGTTCCGGGCGCTGACCTTTGCCCTCGCGGTGCGGCTCATATCCAGCTCATCCGAGCATGATGCAAGGCGCGTTGACTTGAACAAAAAGCAAAACTCTACAGTGCCGCTGCTGGCATCCTGCTAAAAATTCTGTAAGTTTCCTGCTCCTCTTGGGAATCTTCAGCACCTCATACCGTGAGAGCTGAAGGCTGAAAGGTCAGAGGCTGAACCTTGCGTAGCTTTGGAAAAGGCTGGCCGAGAAAAGCCAGGTCTTTGCGAGCTACATGCATCGGTGAAGCTTCAAAATGACCAACTACCCGCTCAAAATTCCAGAGCTTGTCAATCTCGTTCTGCGTTAGTGGTGTGACCTCTGCGCTGTCACAGGGGAAGGCCATCATGTTTTGAGCCGCAAGAGAAGCAATCAAGTCAACTTGCGCGTTACCAGTCCTAGGTGGATCCTTGATGCCAACATGCATGGCCCACATCTCCTTGGGCACCCCCTTTGGCCAGGCGCTGTCCACACCGGCACACAAGGCGTCAAACTTGGCACCCCCATTCCCTCGGAAGATGGTCCAAGCACTGATTGACTGCTCATAGGCCAGGAATGTCGGAAGAACGTGCGTCACCGGGTGCAACTTCATGTCAATGACGTCCAAGTTTGCGACCAGCTTCCATACCGACCGATTGCAACGTTGGACGTCTGTCAGCTTGTAAACACCCGAGAACTTCTCATGACTTGCGTCAAACTTCATCGCCTCCAGCATAAAGGGCTCGTCCGGGAAGAGCGCATAAGGGCTGGTCAAGACCTGAAGCCAGCTGTCGGTCATGATAAACGATCGGTCTGCTACTCGTTGGACCCAGCTCTCTTTTGGAGCTATCCTCGGGGCCGAAACGTATCAGCAACCCGGTCTTAGGATGGAGGAAGCGGAGCCTCAACAAAATGAACATGCGAGAGCTGAGAGGCTTCAGCAATATTGAAGCCTGAGGCAAGCCCCTACTGAGGTAAATCAGGGATCCCCATTGCTGCCTTCACACAGACCTTCTCTGCATGGATAAGCTACAGGAACCTCAACAGTTCAAAGGTGGAATGAACACGGGCATGTCCTCTGTTCCTCGGGTGCGCAGGGTTAGGGTTTAGGGTTTTGGGTGCGACTGGATGGTTTGTAAGAGAGTGGTGCTAGCTTTAGGCTAGATGGGATACAGTGCAGGATGAAGTTTGCAAGTTTGGGAGTGGGACATCGGAAATTTGGAGTCAGGATTGGTGGCTTCAGGGTTTAGCTAAAATCACAGGAGCTCGGGCCTTTCTCGATGGTGAGAATGATGCGAAGTTCGCTTCACAAAGGTTATGCTTATCTTGCAAAACTTCATCGCCTCCCTGGCATCAATTAGCAGGAAAAATCCCACACCAGACATCCACACATAGCCTGAATGAGGGTAATGATGCTAGGAGAAACAACCGACACTGTCATGATCGTCATGATAATCGCAACTGTCATTGCCATGCAGGCAGCAAGCATACTTGAAGTTGCTGCAGCAGAAAGATAAGTACTACTACTTCCTCTACCTCTACTTCTACTTCTCCTACCACGGCTCCTCCTCTTCCTACTATAGCACTACACTGCTACATTGTAGACATCGAGTTGTGACCTCCAAATACTTGTGAATCAAGCTTCCCTAGCAGGCAACCGGCCTCCGCAGGATCCACCTCTTCGGGGACACCGGCCTGCAGGCTTCACAAAAAATGTGTGGTCAATGAGGGACTATAGGGTTCAGGGAGTAGGGTTTAGGGATTAGGGATGGTACGGTTTGGGGACCATAGGGTTTAGGGTTTTAGGGTTTGGGGCTTAGACAAGGCCTTAAAACCTAAACTCCACACCCTTAGCAAACCCTAAACCCTAAACTCTAAACCCTTGTAAACCCTAAACCCGAAAGAATCCTAAACCAACAACCGAGCCCAAAGCAGATCCTGGCCTTGTATGGCCTCCCGGGCGCCTCGCGGCGCATCCGCCGAGCGGAGGCACGGCGGCTGGTGCCCTGGCTCAGGGGCATTTACTGGGTTGCTGTTAAGGAACTTAATTTAAGTTACTATATTGGGGAAACCCTATAGGGTTTAGGGTTTAGGGTTTAGGACTATATTGGGGAAACCCTACTATTTACTATATATACCCATTATGGTAACTTGATTTAAGTTCCTTAACAGCAACCCAGTTTAAAGCGTTTTATGGGCTTCGGGGGATTTGGGGTTTGGGTCTCAGGGTTTTAGGCTTTGAGGGCTTTTGGGGAGTAGCGGTCGGGGTTGTGTTAGGGTTTGGGATTGGGGGCTTACCGTAATGCTTGGGGTTCAAGGGGAGTTGAGGGATTAGGGTTCGGGATTTAAATTGTAAAAGTTGGAGTTGAATTTGTGCTACCGGGATGGTATACTAGGGTTTAGGGTTCAGGGTTTGGGGTTTGGGGTTTAGGGTTTAAGGTTTAGGGTCCGGGTTGGAACTATGGCCCCTAGTATGAGCCCTTAACCCTGGCACCTTCATATACTTGTTCGCTACCCCGAAACACCTATAAAAGCCCAAGAACGGACATGTAGTTAGGACCCAGCAAACAGGCGGGGCCCAAATTAGCGGCTCATGGTTAGGACCTAAATACTACATTACAAGCCTAAGCACTACCAATACCTGAGGTGGACCCCCCACCCTGTAATAGTGAAGATAGGGGATAAAATTAAGGTCGTCGCATATTCCTATTACACCACTGTGCCAGGATGGGGAATCCACCTGAGATCTACTGTACAAGCCTAAGAATTACCAATACCACTTTGAGGTTCCTGTCGAGGGGATTGCGGACAACAATCATTGGGACCAAGGTCAAGTATAATTGGGGTGTTTCACAACATGGTCCATATCGCAGGGTCGCTAGCGTACCCCTGTTTTGCGAAACCCTCCCTGTGTGCCTGGCTTGACATGCGCAGAGCCATGACGTCGAGAGCCATGGTGTCCTGATGGAACGAATGGCAGCTGGCAGTTCCAGACCATGTTCCTATGGGAAGGACCCTTCTATTTGGGGGCATAAGCATGGTCCCGCCCAGCTCTAGAAGCACCCGCCCAAATGCCGGTCTGGCTTCCGAGGCCAACTCTAACAAAAAGTCTTCTCAATACCAAAGAATGACAAACAAAATCAGCGCAAGTTCACATGCTAGTAGCGCATGCTGAAGCCTAAAACTTGCGGGACACAATCCCTGCATTCTTAGGTTCCCCAGCTAGACCATCAAACTACCCACCACAAGGTTCCCTCAATTAAGCTTATTCAATCCTAATTCAAGCCGACCTGGAGGGAGTAGTATGGAGGGGTGTTATTGGCTCTGTAAAGTTCTTTAAGTTTAACGTTATCCAAGATGACTTCCTTTCAAAAATACTGGACACAACGCTCTTCTCCTGCCGCGCGCTCAGGAAGATCTCCTGAAACGCAGGCGAGCCACTCAAAGAGGCAAAAGAAAACAAAAACTGCACTCCTCAAAAGGCACTTGCAACGCAATTCATGAAGGGGCCATACTGGACGACAAGATTACATTACGGAATACAGGAACTGAGTTAACGTGAGATTGGGGCTTCCAGCTACATATTCTAGCACGAGCTCCAGGCAGGAGCCTTTGAGCTATCGGTTGGCTAAAGACCGCATTGTCTGGGGCTGCAGGGGGTCTGCCCAAAACTCAAATATGAAGTCCTCAGAGGTAGTATACCGCAAAGGGACCTTTCCTGTTCAGGCCTTGTCATTGACGTATTGCTGCGGCATTTCTACACTACTCCTACACCCCGCTTCACTCCCAAAGATTTTAGCAGAGCATCTAATTTCTTAAACAAAAAACCCAAAAATCAGAAACTAAGCCGTCAAATTCGAGACCTCAACTCCTCATGCTCAACCCTTAACCCCAATCATCCATAATCCTAAGCCCCAAACAGAACCCCTGACCATGCCTCCGTGACGCCGGTCCATGCAGGAGGACGCTTAAACGCCGCAAGAAGCCTGGGGGTTTAGGGTTGATATATTTGGGGGGTTTTTATATTGGAGATATATAGAGATAATGGGAAGGAAAGTGGAAGCTACGGTTTAGGGTTTAGGGGTATGGGGTTTAGGATTTCGGGTTGGGGTTCCCCAGCTCCTATACTGGATAATCACATGGAAAGGCAACGGGTACATGAAAATGGAAACTGAGAGCTTACATTGATAAATAATATATATGTGTATATATATATACACAGGATTTAGGCTTCAGGGCTACCTTGAAGGTTTAGTGGGGGATGAATTAATGAAAAGCAAGTGGAAACTACTAATATATTCTTGTGGCTACACAAGAACTACTAGGGCTCCTCTCCCTACAAACAGACAGCAAGACGGGAGATGTTGCGGCAGGTGATCTCTCTCTGCTCCAAAACTAGTCCAGAATAGCTCCCCTATGCGTCTCAAGAGTCCTCATATGTTCCTACATGAAACAGAACTGCACGGGTAGGGTTGTGGTGTAGTTTTGGACGTAGAACATCTTGGGTTGGCTCTGGCTGGAGTGTACCGTTTAGGGTCCAGGGTTTAGCCCGGAGTTGTTGAGAGTTTCCGGCTCTGGGTGAGTGGCTTGAGACTCTCCGTAAACATCTATGCAGCTTGCAAACTTTGAAGAGCATGCCCAGTCAATGCAACCGCTGAACAGCATAGCCTCTTTAGCCTCATCCCTATGTACACGCCGCTACCAAGGCCAGACCCTGAGACGCAAACCAGAGGCCCAGCCCTTACATCAAATACTACCCTTAACTAATATTACATTATTACTACTATTGCTAGTTTTGCTACTATTGCTATCAGTTGCTGAAACTACTGCTATTAGAACCGTTCTTACTGCTGAAGTCAAGACTGCAACCTCAAACCCTGAGATCCCAAGGCCCGCCTCTGGTAGTCCTCGTCCTGCACAAGCACATAGCGGACGTCCACATCCCCACCCGGAAGCGCCCCGGAGGGAATCCAGAGGTACGGGTCGACTTCCTGCAAGCGCCGCGGCTCTTGGAGGCAAATTGCAAGTAGATGGAAGCCCTCTATACCTGAAGGAACGAGGAATCTCATGAAAGCAGAAGGCTACATGGGCCGGGTTGCTGATCGCCGTTCCTCAAAATATCTACAGCAAACAATACACCAGGGCTCAATCAGGTCATTGCTGAAGATGAGTCATTATACCAAGAAAACAACCAAGATTATGAATTATGAATATCCCAAGAAAGAACCACGCCAGCAGATCCTCGACGTGCTGGAAGCCTAGCCGGGTGAAGTAGGCCTCCCAAGCTCACAGTGCTGCCACTTAGTGGGGCTAAAGGGGGAGTGGGGGAGTAGAAAAGAAAATGGAAGCTACTCTAGGGCTTGGGGCTTAGGATGCTTACTGGTGAGTAGGAGACTGAATATAGGGACTCTTCTAGGAATTACACAGAGACGATGAGACTGATTCGCTTCTCCCCAATCTCCCTTGCGCACCAAAAAGAAGATGGTTGTGGCCACGGCTGCAGATTGGGTGGCGGGGTCTTAGGGATGACATGTTGATTCCAGGTTGGGTTCAGCAGGTTCTTGGCTGCTCGAGCTTTAATAGTCTGGATGCTGGGGTGCTTAGAGTTCCAGGTCTCTGGACTTGACGTTGCATAAGAGATGTGAACGCCAAAGCATGATTGAGTGCAACTCTAAGCAGCTTCCCAAACTTTGCGAACTCAAGCAAACGCAGGCGCACACTTGCCTCCAGCCCTGCGGACTGCGGCTCCAACACCAGCACCTTTAAAGAGTTTGGGCTACGGGCTTGGGCCTGTCAGGACTTCGGGGATCAGATGAGGTTGTCAAGTGCGGGGCAAAGCTGGGATTTCTTGAATAGAAAAGGCAAGGGCATGCCGGCGCTGATCAACGAGTAATGCACGTGATGCACTGGCCTTGGACCAAGTCAAGTTCGGAAGTAAGAAGAGGGGCTAACGGAGGAACAGCGGGAGCGCTTTCTGCCCAACAACTGATGAAATCTGTGCTAATGCTTGGCTGGTGACCAAATTTAACGCAGAGCTCTGCTAAATTTCCCAGCGTCACCAAACAGAGTCTCGGCTGAACAGATCGGTCAAGCAATCCTTGTTGAACACCACAGCGATGCCGTCAGCACAAGGAGTGGGAGCGGCGCTATACTTGCATGCAAACTCTGGATGATGATGATGATGATGATGATCTGATGATGATGATGATGATGATGACGCCACTGGCATGCACGAGATTGAGGCAAGTGGAGTGGCCATTTACAGAGTCTTGTCACTCACCTCCACTGAGGGCCGCCTTCAGCCTCAATGTTCGTGCTAGTCGACGAATGAAAAACTTTGCTTTACCATCTTGGAAACTCGCAATCACCGCTATGCATATCTGCACCACAGCTGACTGTTTTAGCAGGAGCCAAGAAAGCTTGCATCGAGACAAACCGATGCAAAGCATCATTCCAGCCCATGCATCCAAATCAAGGCCTTTGCACCCGCACTCCTGCCAACACAACAGGACGCCACTCCTCACCGGGAAGCGGCTCCTCTTCGAGAAGCCTGAACTCCCAACCAAATGACTCTCGCCTGTGCCCGCGGCAAATCTTGGAGATCATTTGTATATGAAGGCCTGTACCCAAAGCAGCAGCTTTAATCGATGGGAACAGTACCCAATCAGAGGAGGAGCCAAGCTTGCGGCCCTGAACTGCCCTGCTGTTGGTTCCACTTTGATCTCGGCCCAGCGTGTAGGAATGGCAAACATTTTGGGAGCGCGTCACGTACTCCAGATTATGCAGCTTGTTGTTTCTGCGGTCGCCATCTTTGTGGTTGACCTCAAGATTCGCGGGAGTAGGCTGGCCAAGGAAGGTGGCTGCCACCAGCCGGTGGACCAGGAGACCTCGAGTTGAGCGACGAACGCACAAGTACCCGTGACTGCCAACGGAACCATAGGTCACGCGTCCACTGAATCGAGTGTTCTGAACACGTCCATGGTTGCTGATCAAAGTGTTTGGAATCAGCTCAGAAGCATGAATTCCAGGATATTGTGCGGGATGCCATATCTCATCTGTTGCTTCTGCATCCACCCGATCCAGAGATGCAAAATGAAACTCATACCGCTTGCCACTGCTCGACACTTGCCTGTATGCTCCACTACAGCAACGCGAAACCGACGAAAGAGATACGCCTGACTGCCTCACAGCCTCTGCCTTGGACAAACAATAAGACCATGCCTCAGCACCACAAAGTCGCCAAAGAACAGGTTTGTGGCAGCATACAGCACCTGGCCGTCGGTTTCGATTTGTCGCCCAAGCATGCTTAGCGTTCTCAGATGGAGTAACATAGCAGAGGTTGCTGACCTTATTGTTGGAAGGATTGCCATCGATGTGGTTCACTTGCCATCGACCCTCTGTTGGCGATGGGCCCAGGAACGTGCTGGCAACAACCCTGTGCACTTGGTAGTCTCGCCCACCAATTCTGATCTTCCTGTATCCCGCTGTCATTGCAGAGCCATAGCTAACAACTCCTCTGGAAGATCTCACGCGTCCAAATGAGCTGACTTGCCATCCACAAGGTGGGCTGCTCTCCTCAGAGGCTGGGAACGCTTGGCCCGAAGAAGCGCAGACGTAGGCTCTTTGAGGCCAGCTCTTGAACAAGGATCCGCAGAAGCTGCGCAACATTAGCGGTTGCTGGCTTGGCTATTCACACGCTCGACCAGCAGGGCATGAATGACATGCCTGAGAAAGCACCATCTTGCAAATTTGGTTCCTCCACAGTCCAAGCCGAAGATCACTAAGTGCTGCAAACCCATTGTATCCTTACACGTCCACACCCTGTCTGTTTCGAGCTAAAACGTTTACAGGTTGTCAAGATGGCCATGCCTGATTACCCTTCAGAATATGCACGCGTGAAAGCTTGAAGCATCGCTGCTCCTAGGAACCTAGGACACAATGTTCACTGACAAGTATACAACTTGTAGCTACAAAGAGCACTTCGTATATCAGAGGTTGATGCCAAAGACCGCCCCAGCCAGCATCTTGCCTGGTTGGCTGTCGCTGCTTGCTGCACGAGGCAGCGCAACAACACTGCTCCCAGCCTCATCTGTGCTCAGGCTGCAGATTGCCGACTAATTATGACATACACGATAGCTGGGTAATGAAATGCATGATCGCTACGGGCAACCTTTATGGGTCCTAGCTGCCCGCGTCGCACGCTTCAAAAGCATTCCGAGCAAAACTGACCTGAGCTCCTGCCTCGAACTAGTATTCCGGTCTTACAGGCTACAGCAGCTACAGGCAACACTGGGCGTTTCCTGCGTAGAGTACTGGTCCTCTCTTCGGAAGTCTCGCCCAGCTACCCGAGGCTTCAGGCGGCAAAGCAACGGGGCCGCCGGGCCGCTGTTTGCAACTGCTCCAAGATAAACCTTGCTTAGGCCTTACATGCAGGGGCGCATTTGAGATGTGAAAGCAGGTTTTGACTGTCTGTACTTGCCAAGAGGCCGAAAGAAGAGACCGGACGTACTGTGAAGCAGCATAAAAGCGCAGCCCATCTTCCAAAAACCAAAGCCCCGCCCCGAGCAGCCAGATAGAAATCGGATCAAGATGTGAGAAGCCTGAACCCTGCGCACAGGGGAATCAGTAATGATCAGCCCACCAAGGTCCATACTCGAAACTCCCGAACCCCCAAACAAGCCTGACCTGAAAGCTGCACAGCCATTTCCCTTCGGTAGCTGGCCAAGCGACCCTCGAGCAGCAGCATCTGGCTGCGTCACGATCGCCTTAGATTAGAAAGGGCTTACACGTCAAGGGTGCAGTGCCCTGTCCCATCCACACGCCTTTGCTGTATTGGGGTCCTTGGCAACTTTGCTGGGAGAAACGCATGTCTTGGGATTCTAGAGAAAACAACCCTTCTGAACCTTGCCCAAGGCACGTCGACGTGCATGGCCTCAAGGGGCTCCAGTGGGAAGGCGCGCTCCGAAACCTTTCCAGGATAAGAGTCCGGGCTTGAGAACATATGAGTCGTGTTTTTTTGGTGGTTGAACCTAGTAAGATAATCTTCCTTATATAAAATACCCCAAAAGGAGGATATAGTCTTACTCTATATTGGGTACCATAGTATCACCAAATACAATACTACTCATATGTGTCGGGGATCCGTGACTCACTTCTTGGTTAGCCTCAAGAGTGACCTTACCTTTCTTTTGGTTAGCTGGGAATGAAGCTAACTAAACAAAGGTACGTGACTGGGCTAGGCAACGGAGCGCAACGCCAAAAGCCCGAAGCCAGCCTAAACCAGAAGTAAAAGCCCTAAACAATATTTTGGGTTTAGAGTTTAGTGCTTAAGGTTTATAGGGTTTCGTGGGAATGTCCAAACACAGGAATCCCCAACATCTACCCCAAAATTTCTCTCTCTGTGACAGGGACACCCTCAGGGCATGTCCTGTTTAGGGCAACTCTGGAACCTACACCAGTCTTGTATATCCCTATATACCCCTATGTAACCACTACGATCCCTTGAAATGAAGGGATCCCTGAGAATTGAGAAAATTCTTGGCTGGTCAAGGAACTGCAGCAATTGCGAGCGGGGGCTCGGCCAAAGCCCTGGGTCAGCTGTTCTTCTTAGGGGTCTGTTTGGGTTTAGGGTTTCGTAGATTCCTGTTTGGGGGCTTAGAGCTTCAGGGCTTTAAGGCTTAGGTCGTTGGAGCTCACAGTTTTTCATTGGTGTCATAACTGAGAGAGCAGGGGAAGTAACATAGGTATATACGATCACAACGGGGTATATAGGGAATGTTATACGGATTCACTTCTCCTTAAGCAGCAGAATGTTTTTGGGCGTTGCGTGGTTCTAGGGATTAGGGGTTGCGGGCGTTTGGCTGTTTGGAGCTCAGGAGTTTGGGGGGTTGGGGGTTTAGGGCTTTAGAGCTTATGGTCTAAGGCGTTCGGGGTAAGGGGTTTTGCTTCAGCTGGGCTTCAGAAGGTCAGGAATTGGAACTTTGTCGTTTTCCAGCTGGGGACGAGAATTTGGGCTGAGGGGTTCTGTTGCATAGGTTGTAGGGTCCAAGGACAAAAGGTACGGGATCACAGGGCTAATACGTCTTTGAGTTGTACTTCTGAAGGTGCGCCAAGACGCTGGTGGACGGAGTACACGCGGAAGTCTGCGGACGGGGAGCCTCTCGGAAACAGATGTTGGGAGAGTGCCAAAAGCCAGGATCCCGTACATGGTGAATACCAAATATCCTGCCTCACCCGAAGCGCCTTAAATTTTGAGATTTATGGGATTATAGCATACTTGGTTCATGCAGGATATTTTGTGCTAGCAGTACTCCCAGAATAGAATGTGTAGTCTGCCTGGCTTTCCGAAACTAGAGGAAGCGTGTGGGAATGCGTTTCTACCAGGTTATATGGCGGTTCCTGCAATGATGAAGGACCAAGTTCTTGCCCAATTCAAGGGGGCCAGGTTCTATGACCATACTGGAGGCCTTGTCAAGACTGCAGTATCCCAGGATAGATCATAGCTCGTGTAGTGTATAGGTGCCGCCAGCTAATGTGTTGAATTTGCAGGCTCAGCTGGAGGAGGAAGTCAAATCAGGGTGGGAGGACAAGCTGTCCGGCTGTCAAACCTCTGGCGCTTCTTGGCACCTTGGTGGAGCTGCTTCTTGGGTGATTTTTGGAGCAGTCCGCATTCATCTTGCTTAGAAACCTCCGCGATCCCTAGGGCCCTATATCATCTGTCTATCTTCCTAACAAATGCACTATAGTTTCCCATATAACACCTAGAGAGCCGGCTGCAAACTCTCGAAAACAGTTTCCGAAAATCCTAGCAGAACAACTTCTGCCTCCTACCCTTTTGTTACCATTGCTTCATTCAGCGATGTCCGTCTCCTAGCCCAGTAGGGCCTTTCAGAATCGATGCTAGTTGCTAGTTGATATATCCGCATTATCTAGAAGTTATGTAAGATGAAAAGGCGAAGCACGCGCACAAAAGAAGTCAAAATTACTTCACAAGCCCTACACTTTAAATCCCAATCCCTGAACCCCTACCCTCATGATCAGCATCCAAACCTCAAACACATTTCCGAATCTTCTGCAACTAACCAAGACCTGTATGAATAGGAAACTTGGGCCGAATCAGATTGCTGATTCTTCATGCTCCTACAGGGGGATTTCCATGAACAGCTGGCCCCAATATGGACAGCAATACAATGCAATCCTTGCCTTAGGGACTCCCGACAAGGGGGCCTTAATTTTTGGAAGCCCTAATCCGCAGAAACCCCTATAGACCCAGCTTCCATTTTATTACCATGTTCTTGCCCATTTGGTTCTCCGTTGTTGCGGAATTTTCCCTCATTGCTGAACACCCAGAACGCTATGCAAACCGTACTAATCCCAATAGACCCCCCATGTAACCCCACATGGTAGCTTCCCAAAATGAGTGGACCCCAATTTAGGCCCCCAAATACTATAATCCGTATCATAGGGACCTATCAAAAGGAACCCCCCCCTCCCCGGCACTGTTGGGAAACCCTAAACCCTATACATCCCCAATAATCCTTTTAAAGGTCGCCGTAATTTTGGGAAACCCCCCCATAGCTCCAGAGAGCGCACCCGTCGGCGCCTGCAGGCAACGGCTCCCCGAAAGCTGCATCCTCCAACCGCCGCTTGAGCGCCTCAGGATGGCGCGGTTCAGGGTTCAGGGCTTGACTTCTTAGATCCTCTGGAAATTCTTAAGCACTTTGAGGTTCAGGGTTTTCAAGGGTTGTCTTGCTCTCAATGTTTCAGGTTCGCTGTGCGTAAGTTTTGAAGTTGCAGGGTTGCACCTTGTTTAGGGTTTAGGGAATACTGGCTTTAGAGACCTTAACCCTGAACAATATAAACCCCAGGCCTGAAGCATCTTGCTGTGCAGATTTTTGTTCGGGAAGTTTGGGGTCCTGAGGCTTTATAGGATTAAACTGAGAGCCCCTTCTTCTCTGCCTTGGGGCCTAGAACTTATGAAAACATCCATTTGGTGTTTAAGGTCACAGCCTCTAACGCTCTCGCTGAAAACGTCTGGGGTTCTCCGAGGCCTTGGCAAGGAAGTATGGAGCAGAGTTCGAGGTCTATGGAAGGTTCCTTGTCAAAAGTCTATAACAACAGTGCTGGATTGAAAAACACAAAAGCACCTGAAAGGATGTGAATTTGCTCAAAGGGCAGCAGCAATGGAGCAGCGATAGATTGGAACAGGTTGTTCTGCACATGCTTGAGTTTTAGTCGGTTGAAAACTCGGGGGTATACTGCTACCGGCGACTCTTATCCACCCGAGCCACTCAGCAAATCCTGAGACCAATTTCACACACCACACGTACGAACACCAAGCTACAACACATCTTACACAAGTAGTCTTCAACCCGACTCCTAACCACCCCCCTACACAATCCCCGGGCCATACCAATTCACCTTAATCATGAAGGTTCTAAGCATCAACAGTTCTGGTCCAAGATCTAGCCTTGCCTGTATAGGCCCTCGGCCCTGTCAAATCACATATGCGTCCTAGCCCCCTTGCTGAAACTACAAATTCCCAAAACAGACCTTCACAAAGAACAAAAGGCTGGCAGATGGGTGGTCTCCGAAATTGGGGTCCATTTGAGCGCCAAGCCCGGCACTCAAAGAGCAATAGTAACTACCTGGACCCCGAAAGTAAAATAATTGCCTTTATGGCTATTATTAGGGGTTTAGGGCTACTATTTTACATACTTTTGGGGTTTAGGTAGGTGTCGTACTATGCCATAAGGAAGCCTCTAGCGCTGAGTATAGCCCATGAACACAAGTCTGAGAGCCATCATATGGGCGTTCCCGAAAGTAGGGTCCCCCTGTACCCCTTGATACTTTCTAATCCCTATTATAAGGACCCTTGTTACAGGGGCCCTGTAAAGCTTTCCCCCGAGCCGCTCCAATCATCCGCTGCCTCCAGAAGTTGCCCTCGTGGCTGCCTTTGCTCTGTCTTAACTGCCCCTATGGGGTTCTTAGTCGCACTGTTACTGTAGTTGTTCATTCGCTATTCGAATTAAAAGATGACAACAACAAATCCAACAAACGTATATCCAAAATGGCCCGCAAAGTGGACCTGCAGCATATACACCCGAAAAACCCTAAATCCCAAACCCTAGGGCTAGGGTTTGGGGCTTCGGGGAGCTGAGCTTTGCTCCATCTAAATGGGAGTAGGCTTCGGTGAGCTGACCTTGAAGCAGGCGAGCATTTAGGCGTGCATGTGCGCGCATAGACTTCAGGGATTTATAGATTGAGATGAAGGGTCAGGGAGGCTCTATTGGGGTTTAGGGTCACGGGCTTCGGTTTGGGGGATTAGGGTGTAGGTCTTGTGTGCCAAGGCTTAGAGGGTAGGTTCTTGGCAGTTGGGATTCGGATAACCCAGGCCCGAGCAGGCTTAGGCCCTCAGCCGCAGGCCCCAAATTTCAATAACCCGAGTACTTGGCATGGACTGCACAGGCACTACGATTTTGAAAGAGACTAGACGGCTGTAGCCCCGTTTTGGGCTTCCATGCTAATTGCAGGGAGGACTTCAGCAACAACTGCTGTGGTTCCCAAAACACCTGAAACGTAGAAACTGGGACCCGGGGATAACTACAAATGTATATTCTTCTTTGGTTGCTGGCACACGAGAAGCTAAGAACATTTCAACAATGATCCAGCCAGGAAACGCGAAAACAAGAAAAAAACAACACTGGAAAATGGAATCCCGTGCCCATGTCAGTTTTTGACGTCATGGCGGTCAAATCCAGTTGCACAGCTGGGTTGCTGTTGAGGAACTTAAATTAAGTTACACAATGGATATATCTATACTAATAATGAATATGGTTTCCCCAATATAGTACCTTAAGTTAAGGACCTTAACAGCAAGCCAGACAGTCAACACTGCACCGATAAAGCGCAAAGCCCGGGAGATTGGGCAGCCACCTCAGGTATTTGCCTGCAGCAACTTCGAGTAGCTTCATCCCGAGGCCATCCACCATAGTGGTTTAGGGTTTAGGGGTTTGGGGATGTAGGGATTAGGGTTCAGGGTTTAGGGTTTGCAGAACAAGAAAACCGGCCTGCAAGATATTCACATGTTCAAGATGGCTCGAAATGAGTGTTTCCGTCTGGCATGCTACCCGCTTCCCCTTCATAACCCTCTGGGGGGGGGCTCGAGAATTAGTGGCCAATTATGGAAATGTTCATATAAGCCACAACCCCAGCTCCATAAACCCAAAGCCTAGGGCCATAAAATCTCATCCCCTAAATGCCAAGCCCAACCACCCCTAGCCCTGACTCCTCTGAACGTTAACCCTGAAAACCATCCCGCTCTAGACCCCAAAGCAAATCTAGGCAGTGGACAACCCAAGTTGTAACCAGGCAAATAGCTCTAGAGTCCATACGCACGCGCAATATTCCTACCTAGCTCTGACTGAGTTCCACTAAATTCCAAAGACTGTGTTGCTGTTAAGAAACTTAAGCTCAGTTACCATAGTGGGTAAATATAGTATACGTAATATGGTTTCCCCAAATATAGTAACTCAAACTGAGTTCCTTAACAGCAACCCAGAAGACCCACGTGAGCTATAGTCTAAACTCCTAGTATCCCCCTTAATAACCCCTGCAGTAGTCCCCTATGTAAGCCCCTTTTAAGGAGTTTAAACTGTAGCTCACATGAATTCCCTGCCGTGGTCGGGTGGCCGTAGCTGCGGCCCTCCCACTCGCCGAGCCAGGCTGCTAACCTCTATGAGCCATAAAATCTAAACTCCTTAACAGGGGTTATATAGGGTCTCGGGTTTCCTTAAAGGGGGTTAGGGATTCTATAGGGTTTAGGATTTAGGATTTAGGGACTCAACTCCTTATAAGGAGGGTTGCATAGGGGATTATGTAGGGGACTAACCAAAGGGGTTACTAAGGGGGACACTAGGAGTTTAGACTCACCTCTATAATCTCCTATAGAATCCCAGTTTCCATTTCATTTTCCATTTGATTCTCCATTCTAGGGTTTATCAAGGGGGATACTAGGAGTTCAGACCATGGCGCCTAAACCCTACACCCTAGGAATTTTGACTGTAGCTCATATACGCAAGGTTTGGGCGTTTAAGGATCCCGGGGTCCCGACTACTGGGGCTTTAGGGTTGCGGCTCGAGAGATCTAGGAGCTTCGGCTTGAGGGTTTAGCCAGGTCTCGGGCAGCTCTTGGCAATATAGGGTTCAGGGTTGAAGGTTTAGGATTTAGTTCTCCATCAACAGCTAGAAAAGCAAGGGCATAGCGACTCAACCGTGAGCTTCCCTGCGGGCCGATGAATTAAATTAAATTAGTACCCCAGGGTTTAAGGAGCTAATAAGGACTATATAGGGCTTGATAAGGCCTAATAGGGTTCTAAATCTGGGGGGGGTACCTTTGGGGGGTACTATTGTAATCCCTTACTATCTGGGGGCTAGACTTCGGGCTGCAGCTTGTGAGGAAGGGGTGTCAGGGATTAGAACAGCTGGGTATGTACGTTACAAAACAATATATAGCGCTATTTCTAACAGTAATTTCAAAGAGGCTCTAGGATATTACTTGGGCTCGTCCTGCGTAGGTTTGTCCCAGATCCGGCTCACTTACTGCTGCCTAAGGTGCTCTTCAGTGGATCCCTGCACTAATCTCCAAAAAAATCCTCTGTAGTGATACGTATGTTCTCTACCCCACTGCTCCTGAAACACCAGCAAGTTGAGGTTCTGGAACGTACGGTTCACTACGTGGAACAGTCTTGAAAGCGCGCCACAGTTATGAAACCCTTGCCAGGCTCAAATGAGACCTCTGCAGGGAAGCTGGAAGAAGTGCATGACACCTCTTCAAACCCTCCAACATGCCCAACCGATGGAAATGCGCTAAGGCAACACGTGCTATTGATGACCCCTCAGCTACTGCTCGTCTGGAATCCCTGCACTCTCTTTCTCCAAAGACAAAGATGACCTGTGGTGGAGCCATGCTTGACCCTTAGATATGAGCTACTGTCAAGATTGGGCTTATTAAGAGATGCTTAACAGTGGACATGAGGGTCACTTTGGTAGTTTAGTATAGTCCGTAATATGGTCCCTAATTAGGAACCCCCATGTCCATCACACATGTCCATTAAAGTATGTAGGAAGAATTGACTGTAGCTGATATCTTGGGTTAAAAGCCCAAGTCAAACCCACCCCCGTGACAGCGCTTGACGACGGGCGGCCGCAGAGCATGCTGCGGCAGCAGCCAGAGGACCAGCGAGCGGTTGTCCATCCTGGTGTCCACTTGGGTGTGCTTTTTCTTTGAAAAGGCAATACCATAGGGACCCAGGAACACATAATTCACTGGTTGTCAGGTGGAATAAGGGAATGCATTGTAATCCCTATGTACTCCCTATATAATATATTCCCTACTAACCCCCAGTAAGATTCGGAGTGTGAGGGCAAGATACAGATACCTATCCAGAATTGTACAGGTTCCTTCTGAAAAAGCCCAACTTCTGATCAGGGTTTAAGAGCTGCAAAGGCAAGAATCGTTGGAAGTAATCGTAATCCCAAACCAACGCAGTAGTAGAAAACCTCCTGAAGCAATTCAGAACAGCATCATGACCTTGGCACATGATGGCAAGAAAAGTCCTGACAATCCCCTCGCCCTAGTATGAAAATCCCCCACA